AATTGACACTAATTTTAAAAAGTATATGTTACAATAATATGTGGATGTGAAAAAAATTAATTTTATTTAAAACATTTTGGCGTCTGGACAATTTTAAAGGTACGGTGAGGTATTTTTCATTCTTTAAGCATAGCGTTTTTACTAAAATCTATATAGTTCAACAGCTTAGAATTTTATAAAACAAATTCATAATCAAAGTCGCTATTGTTAGCTATAGGAAAAAAAAAAAAAAAAAAAAAAAAAAAAAAAAAAAAAAAAAAAAAGATGTGATTTTTGCGTAAATGTCGCTAAACAATACAAATTGCTATTACCTATTATACTAGGAATGTTTCTTTTATGCGGAAGTGTCCCGTTTTTAAATCTGATGGAACTGTCGTGTGTCGAAATACTATCAGACCGCTGTTAAGCGAGCTTCTGAATGTAAACAAAAAACACCCCATCTGGTGACCGAAGCTTCGGAGCAGTGCTTCACTTCTAATGCCGATTTGGCCACCCCTTCCTTTCTTACCTCGATGGAGTTAACGGTGACCCACCTATTTTGTGCTTCCAAGTGGCCATTACTTCTGGCCTTAGTATCAGGTTCTGTGTTCCTCCTTACTTGCTTTGGGAACATTAAATGACCTGACTCGGAACAGATAGCTTACTAAAGCTATGTTCAATAAATGTGGGGAGTAGACAAGATACACAGGAAGGGTATACGAAACCCTTTATTTTTCTCTCTTTACAATGATTTCCGGACTTCGGAATACAGAGACCAACCACTTGTGGTCTGAACGTAAGAATATAAAAATATTAACTAAATTCTAACTAAACTAACTTTGGATTAATAAACAAGTATCTACTTGAAGATTGGCCGTATATTAACAGAAAGGCCGTATGTAGTACAGAGAACTGTTAACACTACGATACGTTTAAAATTATCAAGAGGATTAAACCTCAGCGGCCTGCTCTTAATCACTCCTTCCTCTCTCTTGCTTGGCAAAAAGCCACAACTTAAGTACTTGGCGTTCGCAAGACAAATTTGCATAAATAAGTTAAAGCTTTTAATTCTGGCCGGAAGTAGAAAATAAGAAGTGATAGTAAAGATTTAAAATAAAAATAAACGTTAGTAAAACTTAAGATCCTTACATTAGTAGTGGCCAAGCCGAAGTCAGCTAAATGTCCGCCAATGGAAAGAAAAATACTACGAGGTTTGCTGTTGGGTGAACTTGATGACTCCTAGTCTGCTCAAAAGCAACTGCTTCTTATGTGGCTTTATTTCTCGCACAGATTAAATGGGATGGTGGGCTGAGATTGAATGGAACCCAGGGCGCCTGGGTTCGAGATCCTAGACTTTATCGATTACATTTAAAAGTTAGTAATTAAATTTTATTACTAACTTGCATCGATTATCTATAATATAAAGATTCAGATAATGCTACTTTTCTCCCGCTAATTTTGCAATAAATTCAGCGTGCATACTATATTAATGTCTAAATGGATTATATAAAACACAAGACTTTATATCACTCTTCTAAATGTTTTTTAATCGTGTGATATTATTTGCAGAAACTAGCTAAAAGAATTAAACTATATTGTTACGAAATGTCCAGGCGCGGTGAGATAGCTTCCCCGCAAAGCAGTTTTAGGGTTGCCATAAAATGCAAAGGACAGTAGGGTTGCCGCATTTGGCGAGAAATCGCCCATTTGGCGATATTTGGCGAAAAAATTGGTGATAAACCATGGACGGATGGAGAACCTTCTGGAACGAATTCTTACCGGTTTAGCCCAGAATGTTCTCGAACACCAGCCAAAAGCTATATAAACCCTGCTGGTCTGCAGTCAGTGTGTGTGTGCTTCATCGAGAGGGCGAGTGAGTGTGCCTCGCATAGAGGGCGAGTTAGTTAATATTGAGTTGGTGTCTCGTCTAGGAAGTCAATCCCTGCGGAGTCGATCGAGTTGACAGTCGGGCAGCGAGTGCCGAGTGGGTCGTTGAGTGCACAGAAAAAGTCTCGTAGTGTATCGCGGTTAGTGCATCGTCGAAAGAGCTCGTTGAGCTCCGGGACGACTGAACCGAAGAGTCAGGAGCTGTGCTCGTGTGTCGTCGAGTGCATCGCGAGTTGTAGCGTGGAGAGTCTCGAGAGTACGTGGAGTTCCGAGAACGAGCAAGCAGAGTCGGGAGCTGTACTCCGGAAAGCAAAGTCGGGTGCTTTGCAGGAAGCTGTCTCCACCGTGATAGCCTGATAACCTGAAGGCTGTGTCGTTGATCGTGTCAGCCTGTTTATAGTAGTTCATCGAAGACTGTAAAACGTGTTTTGGAGCTGTCCTGACAATACTGGTAAATAAAGTGTGTTTCGATACTTCATCACGTGTCGTCGTTTTTCACTCCAAATCCACACGAACCCCGTACGAACCTGAAGGAAGAAAATAACGCAACAACTGGTGTCAGAAGAAGAAAGGAAAAACGTAGCAATATGATCTTATTGTTATGTCGCGAATTTCAGATATTAATATTTTATTTTCAGTTATCATTATTTCAGTATTTTTATTTGTATTCATTTATATTTGAAACTGCTAAAAAGAGTATTCTAAAATTGTTAAAAGCCTTATTTAGCTGGTAGTTCGTGCAGCATTTGTGAAATAAAAGACAGGAAGCTTTTGTCGCATTTCATCGCTGGGGGGCTCGTTTACTAATGGGGTTGTACAGGAAGTCGTAAACCGACTTGCTCGTTTACACTTGCCTTTTCGCTTTATATATTGCAATGTTTTATGTTAGTTTCATTCCGGACAGTGTGGGTGGGGTTGTAAGTTTAGGTAATTTGATATTCTTCGTTAGTTTTTCGCTTTGTTAGCTGAGGGGGAATCTATTTCCCACGTTTTCCTGAGTACAGATGTCCAGTTGCTTTGTCAGATTTTCTTGTGTTTGGTTCGTTGTAGGGGGTAATTTCTCGGCTAAAGATAAAAGTAATACTAAGGTTGGTGAAATTTAATTTTATGTGATTTTTTAAACCTATGAACAAATAGGAGTGGAGAGACCGAGTTTACCTCGGAGGTTGCACAAGTTAGAAGTCATTCAGATTTGGGAGTTTGCAAGGAAGGAGTTTAAGAAAAGAGAAAAACTGGTGGGGCTTGACCCTTGCCAGTCTTGTTCTCGCCAATTGTAGCGGAATCTGATTTTGAGCTGCAAAGAAAAAGGAGAAGCAGAAATTGTGGCGGGTCTTGCGTTCCCGTGTCGGAGCGGATGAGATTGGAAGTGAATCGTGACCAGACGAGATGTAAAGAGAGGAGAGATAAAGTGTGGCGGGGTCCTTTGTGGGACGAGCGCCAGCTGTTGATTCAGATTTTGAGTTTGAAAACGGCAATTTCTGAGGTGGTCTTTCCATGAATTTTGATGCTCATGGTTAGCTCATCGTGGCTTTTACAGCCTTCTTTCCAGCCACTTTACAGTCAGCTTTCCGGGCGCGCTTTACAGTCAGCATTCAAGCCGTTTTACAGTCAGCTTTCCGGTCGCTTTAGAGTCAGCCTTCAAGCCGCTTTATAGTTAACTCTCCGGCTGTCTCACTAACAGCATTCCGATTGTGGGGTCGAGGAATTTATTTTTGGGTTGACGCAATCTTCTCGAATCATCTAATTCAGTACTAGGAATTTACATCATAGTGCCTTCAACGAACGATGATCCTTCTTCAGCCCTATATGGACCAATAGAGTTATCGTAAATTCTGCAATGCTTCCGTTAAGCGGTTGTTGAGTGTAACGAAGGGTTCCTGTCTATTATACGTTATTTTATATTTTTTTATTGGAAACAATCATAGGTTGTGCCTTTTCCAGGAGGCTGGGACATATATGTCCCGCACTTTCACTACTTTAAATGTGTCTCAAGAGTTTTCAGTAATATATGGAGATTTAAAATTTACTTCTTAATATGGATAAGGAAGTTTAAGACCCTGTCGATTTGTTTTTTTCATCCTCTCAAATAAAATAAATGAATAAATGGTCCTAATACGTTCGAAATTGGCGCCTATATAGCCCAAGGGAAAGGGTTACAAAATTACTGTGATTAAAATATGCAATTTCCATAATTATAATTTCTTTTTGTTACCTGAGATCAAATTTTTTAAATAACTAAGTTTATGTATAGAATAATCCTAATAATCGTTTGTTCCGTTAAATTAAGAATTGTTCTACAGTACTGAATTGCAGTAAAAGTGATGAATGTAACTCACTGTGTATGTAAGGTAGCTGATCTTTTACCCAGAAAAATGTTATTTAGATAATGTAGAAATTTAATAAATGTGTTTGTTTCATAATTCTTTTGCATTTATTTATCTTATGTGTATTTTTACGGTGGTCTATCATGTCACTCCATTTGTTTGAGCCGGGAGGCTTTTAAGAAACATGGAGCTTTTATTGAATTTGGTATTATTGTTTTTCCCATCAGGCTTCACAACGCGACCCTAAAAAGTTATTTTACTAACCACTTTACGATTAATGTTTTGAAAAAAAGTTAATGTTAATGATAATTTGGTGATAGGATTGAAATTAAACTGATTGATTTTTCTTGAGGGACTGTTTGGGATTATGAGTATCACTTCGCTGGTGCTTGGGAGGTTCTGGTTTGATGAAGATGAACATGTTGGTCTCAGTTGAATTATTGAAGTGATTGAATATGTAGTTTCAGTGGTTTTAAGAGATTTAGTGTGTGAGAGTTAATACCCGATATTTTACTCGAGCACCAGAGAAGATTTATTCTTTCTTATGTCTTTTCAGGTTAAGTTTTATTTAAAGTGTGAATTGAATTGATTAACTTGAATGATTTTTAAGGTATGTTTTGTTAAAAGTATTTGAGTTAGATAACCAAACAGTTTCTCCTCCTCCTCCACTACACAGTTTAGTCAGGTTTAATAAGAGAATTTGATTATAGTATAGTTTGTCCGGCACCAACCAGTCAGTTAAGTTGAGTTAAAAGTTACACCCCCCCCCCAAGTTTTCAGATATTTAACACTATAAGTAATTGTACTTACTTTAACTGCTTCAGCTTTCACACATACAACCATAGGGGAATATGATATCCAGAAACAGAACAGTTTTTTGTCTCTGAATAGTACAGAGTAGGCATTCATGATCTGAAGAAAAACTAAGAACATGTGTAAAAAAGTGTATTAGTTTCAGAAATAAAAGTGTATAATTAAGACACAAAAACTTAAGTAAAATTTTGACTCAAAGAAACTAAAATTTAGACAAGTTCAAAAAATATTACCGATAATTACTTACTGCGAAAACTAAAGTTTTATCAGGTTTATCAGAAATATTTCTATAATAAATGTTACACTATAAAGGTTTAGAAATAGATTTTTTAGTCCAAAAGGGCAGTTTTCCCAGAAGGACTAATAATTTAGTTTTGGCATTTCGCGTTTATTCACTACAAGCGTTGTTTCACTTTTAAAATTGTTGCCCAAATTTGGAATTTTTTTTTATTATCTATTTCACATTTTCTAAAACTTTAACCAATTTTTGATTAACAAACTCAACGATTTCAAAGCGAGCAATGGCAACACTGTAAAAAAAATATCTCCGGCGCGCGAGACTGTGTATCGGAAATTCTAAAGATTCATTTTAAAATTATTTTGCGATATTGCTGTTGAACTTAATTTTATGGTTTATGTGCGAAGAAAATGATCATGACGCTGGAAATAAAAATGTTTTTTCGGTACAACGTTGCCATTTTTCTGATTGCCTTTGAAATCCTTGAGTTTGTTAAGCAAAAATTCGTTAATGTTTTACAAAATATGAAATCGATAATAAAACAAATTCCAAATTTGGGCTTCTAGATGCCCATATTCGGAGGAGGATTACTTTATTCAAAATTTGATGGTATACCATTGTTTTATCACAATGCGAGAATCATACATACATTAATGAAGATTCTTCTTTATTTAATTTCTTTAAATATAATACAGAGTGATGATATTTGGTGGCAACAATTTGAAAAGTGAAACAACGCTTGCAGTGAATCAACGCAAAATGCCAAAACGAAATTAATAGTCCTTCTGGGCAAATTGCCCCTTTGGACTAAAAACTCAAATAAGCATGAGCTTTAAAATTCCCGGAGAAAACATTTTATTAAATCTTGCGCCAGTTGTTCTCGCGTCCAAAATTCCTAATGGAATTTAAAATAGCGACAAAAATAATCTAAATACATTGTCAACTCGTTTCCTCATAAAGCAGTTTAAAAAGTAAACTAAGTACTATCACATAGCTCCACAGAGTGTTTTTTTTTCTTTTTCCTGATCCCACCGTTTTTCCATGTTTTAAGTGTGACTATAACTATTGGGGATGTACAAATTTATGTTTGTGATTAATAGTAAAATGCTCAAGAACAGTTTCATGAAAATTTATGTACTGTTCACGAATACGAAACAATTGCGTACAAAAAATGAAGCGGTCGTTCCTTTTACGATGGTTTATTCAGAATTAGTAGCATGCAATCAAAGTGAAGACCTTATGAGCACGCATATGACGTTTGTGTGTCCATTATTGGTGCTAAATCACAATATTTGGCTACAATTTTTATTCGTTGAAATAGTTCACGGCAAAACATGCAAGTACCATTTTATTTACAATTTTATTCAAATTTCGCTGTCTAAGTTGCAGTTCATGTTTGTAAATTGATCTATAGAAAGTGGCTTACAAACAATAATTTTTCGTACAGTCATGAAATAGTGCATTCTGTATAGGATACTACTTAAGTAGAAAATGCTGGTCTATGAAGCAGTAGTTAAGCCGTTCGCTGACTATTTTTTGCTGTGATTGTTTGCAACAAAACCAGTATTTTCATATATTTAAAAAATTTTTCAGTAATAATATTACTCTCTTTTTTATTTATTATTTTTTATTTTTGAGAGCAGTACTCTCAAAAATAAAAAATAATAAAATAAAACATAAAATTGTGTCAAGTAGAATCACAAAAATAGTTTGTAGTTTGTATATAGTATAAATTACATCCAACTTTAATACATATCTTTATTATGTAGATGGTAATACAATTTATCTCACATTTACTATAGCTACTCTACTATTTCTATTCTTTGTACTCAAGGAGATTAGATGAAACAAAAAACGAACATCGCTATTCTAAGATCAATGTATAAGGTGCTTCTCTCGCCTACTTAGCATGCCTTCATGGTGTAGTGGTTCAGCACCCTCGACGCGTATTTGAGATGTCCGTGGTTCGAGTCCCGGCAAGGGAATTGCTCATTTTTCATCTCTCCTGCTTCGAAATAACCTAATGTCTGTACAGTGGTTCCCGAACTAAAAAACAATGTGGTGGATGATGATTCTTCACAACCAGGATTTGGCGATTAGGTCTCCTAATCCCCAGTCGCTCTTTAAAGGGGGAGTATATAAAGTATTGCTCCCGCCTTTAGCATGCCATGGTAGTGTAGTGGTCAGCACACACGAGGCGTATTCGAGAGGTCCGTGGTTCGAGTCCTGGCGAGGGCATTGCTCATTTTTCATCTCTCCTGCTTCGAAATAACCTAAAGTCTCTATAAATGTATATTTGTTTAAAGACTCTAAAGAACTGCCACTTCATTGCTATCAAACACTGGTAACATAGTATCAGGAAACAAATGCAGTGTGTCGCTAAATAATTACTTAATTCAGCTTAGAGAAAAAGAAAATTTTTAATCTCAGTTTTGAAGCACGAAATGCACATGATAGATATATCTAATTTACTAAGTTTCTTATGATATATATATATATATATATATATATATAATTAAAAAAAAGTTCTTTCCTGATATAAAATTTCTAATTTCGCATTACATGTCTTAAAATTATAATTAAATAGAGCTCAATAAGAATTATATTCAGAGTGCTTTTTAATAAAAGTTTTACCGAAAAATTCTGAAAAACCTCCAGCTTTAATTAGAAATGTTTATCATGAATTTTTAGTTGTGATACTTTTAAAATCAGCAGATTTTACAATTCTTATGATTATGTGAAGATGATAAGAACAAAATTAAGTATTTTTTAAAGTTTTAATTCATGTGACAGAAACCAGATAACATCGTTTTGCGAGTTATTTACAGTCTAACTTCGTAAAAAACTGTATTATTCAGAACAGACTGATGTCTTTGATAGTGTTAGTACTGGTTAAACACATGCTTTCCTCATAAGTAAATTTTATAATCTTAAATAATTAAAAATTTGAGAAAAAGTTGATTTTTAATGATTCATAAGATGAACATTACTTGTAGTTTTCTAATCATGCATACATTACTGAACATATAGCATCTTGGGACGTATGTGAAAAATTAAATATGAATGTAATATTACTGAATTAAAATTTCTGAATAAAAAAACTGTCATTTAATTTAATAATACAATTTGTGACAAAAATGGTAACTCTAAACTTATCTTCAAAATAATTAGTATAAAGAACTTAACATATTACATATAATTACAGACTATTCGATTGAGCAGCAGGTATATAAGAAATTTTCATCTTCACATTTTCCTTACATCATACCAGGTAATATCTTAAACTTTAGGGACATAACTAATTTTAATAAGATTATAATTTTTATGCGTTTTTAATTTTAATGCATCAAAATTGCTGCAAAAGCCGTATTTCCCATGTGAAATCCTTACGTATGATTGCAAAAAATGATTTAAGCTAAATTCATTAAAAAAATATAAATCATAAAGCATTTCTGTTTTATTACACACTTCTTACTTATACAACGTAGCACAACTCTTAATTATACTTTTTATTCAACGTTTGATTAGATACTTATTAGACATTACTGCAGAGCTTTGAATGCGTTTAAAAGTTTCAAAATATGCGAAACGCGATAGCTTAGAACATTAGTGATATAGTATTTTCTTTCGTATAACAATAATGAAACTTTCCACGTAACTAAAAATAAAATTAATAATATTTTCTAATGTATTTCTCATCTATTGTAATTCGTAATAACATGCTGAAAGAAAAACAAAAGTGGTTGCCATACTCACAAACATTACTAGAATATCCATTTCTCGAAATTTTATTATAAGGCAGGTCAACCAGATTTGCACTAATGCTAAAAAATCGCACTCTTCTCCCTGGTAATAATGCATTATATTTTCGTCTTCGTATAGCAAATTTTATCCATACCAAAACTGCACAAAATAAGGTACTAATTAAAAAGGAAGGTAAAATAATTCCAACATCTAACGATTGTAAGTCCATCATCTTGAATAAAGCATAGTACGTCGTACTTTCTCCACTCTGCAAAAACGCAGAAAAATCTCTCTCTTAACTAAAAAAAAAAAAAAAAAAAAAAAAAAAAAAAAAAAAGAAAATACAGTCAATAACTGTTTACCAATAAAATGACGCTGACAGATAAAATTATTTATATATCACTTTCGTCTTTCACGTTGAGAGATAAAGTATTTATACCATCTGTCCTTTGGCCCAATCAGATTCTGAGAAAAATCGAAATAATTGAGAAATAAAGATTTTATACTATCTGTTCTTTGACAAAATCAGATTTTGAGAAAAATCTAACTAGTGATAATCGCGAAAATGGGGCATATTCGATTTTTCGGGACCAGGCATGTAAAACTCGTAGCCCGCGGGCTGCATCCCAACTAGCACAAGAACGTTCAGAGCAAGTGCTTCACAAACGTGTCGAGAACGTTCAAAATGCCGTCTACATGTTACAGTTCTAAGACGGGCAATAACACGTCAAATACTTGTGTTTGTAACACTTTCATGCAACGTGTCATTAACGTTCTAGTGTAACGTTTTTGGCGCGTTTTACCTGAACGTTCTGAACCACGTCTATGTATTGCAGTACAATAACGGACAGTAGTACGTCAAAAGTGGTACTACTATCACTTTTTTATAACGTTCTATGAATGTTCTTCTAACGTTCTAACAGAACGTTCCTTTAACGTTCAGGCAGAACGTGGTGAATCACGTCAGTATGTTACAGTTCAATAACGGGTAGTAGAACGTCAAAAAATGGTGTTACTAACAATTTTATAAAACGTCCCTTGAACGTTATATGGAAGCTCCGTTACCTTCTAACAGAACGTTCCTTCAACGTTCTAGCAGAACGTTTCTTTAACGTTCAGGCAAAACGTTCTGAATTACGTCTGTAAGATGTAGTTCATTAATGGACAATAGAACGTCAAAATGTGGTACTAGTAATAATTTTATATAACGTTCTTTGAAAGTTTCTATAACGTGCTAGCAGAACGTTCTCTTAACGTTTGGGCAGACGTTCTGAATGTCGTCTATAGATTAAAGGTTTATGACGAGCAATACCACGTCAAATACTTGTACTGTTAACACTTCTGTATAACATGCAAAGAACGTTCCGAATCACGTTTAACTAGAACGTTTTGAGTTACGTCTAACTAGAACGTTCTGAATCCGGTCTATATGTACAGACTCTGAAGGACAACAGTACATGAAATATTTGTGTTTGTAATACTTGCGTCTAATGCGAAACTTAGTTTCCAAATAGTGAATTCATATAATAATTTACATTTCTTTAACGGAAGAGAAACACTGCAATTTTCTGGAAAAGACATTATCTGTTTGAAGAGTTGAGCCTGAAATGTTACATTTACAATATATGTTATGCTTTATATGTGCATCAAAATTAAAATTCTATTATTTTTTTGTATTCTCTTAGTTCATTACATACATGCCATTTATTAATGAAACTTTACACTTTTTCTCTACATTTACATGCAATTCCTCCAATGCAATATTATCTAGACCTTATATTCCCATAGAAGTTTTACACACCATTCTTATTAACTACATATAAAAACAAGATTTGTTACAGTTCTAATGATAGAAATGTATTTTAAGTTTAATAAATTAACCAAGAAATTAAGTTATTGTTCTCACTGGAAGGAAAAGGAATCAGACTGCAAATCACGATTTTTAATATATGGCCAGAATCATTGCAATTTTCAAAATTCTGAAACCTTATTCATGTGATCATATACACCAAACTATTTTAATGGGAGACTGTATTATATTCTGGACGAAATAATTATTTCTTATTAAATATAATCCTCGGTACTTTTTTGCAGTAAATTAAAAACAAATTGTTTTCTTTCAACACTAATAAGCTCTGATATGCCAGTTTAATAACTGTACTTAAACTTTATATGAGACTACTGCTGTCTAGAGTTTTTGTCATTGCAGTAGACTAAAAGCATCAGGATGATGGGAATTTAAAGTGCATGCTTGGATATTTCTTGTCATTAAAATAAATTTAAAAGTTTGCACTTAAATGTATGCAAATTTTAAAAATAATAAATATTTTTTCCTGTGTTCTGTTTACAAGCAATTTAACTGTACTAAACAGTTCTCTGTTAAAATTACTTCTGTCCATGTAATTTTTTATAAAGTTAGAAGGCGTATTTTGAAAGTTAATAAACAAATAAAATGACATATATCTTTCACAAATTCATTATTTTGCCATAAATTTGATTTATAAAATTAGTTCAGTGAATGGTCCAGTCAATGGATAAGGTTCTTAACAAGCAATTTTCAGTTAAAATATAATTATTGTCATAATTTAAAATTTGAAGCATTTATTGCAAAAGGTTTTAATTTAATTCAGCTACTAGGAATGCATTAAATTCCCAAAATCTATAAACTGATAGTTTTATATTATTTCATAAAATTTTAAAGCAAAATTAAAAGTATTAAAGGAAATGTAATGAAATTAATTTCCATATTGCATATTCATGTAATAAATTTCTCTTCTAGAATCAAACATTCAAATTCAATGAACTAATTATTTTCATATTCAGTAATACAATGTATAAGATACAATATTTGCTTAAGCTAAGTATCCTCTACCAATCCAAGTCTTCATGAAAGTTAGGAAACAAACTGAACAATTAATAACTTTAATTACAGTATTTTCGTACAAGCTAATACACAAATTTTTTATTCCATTGTTTACAAACTTCCTTCTGTTGTACATTTTCCTTTTTGTTTATGATACTTTTCTCTAAATGAAACACTTTTCAACCAGTCTTTTATAATATTTTCAATAATATTGCAAGGTACCTCTCTGGTGGCCCGATTTTCTTTGAAAGCACCTAAAAGAATAAAAAAAAAAAAAAAAAAAATCAAGAAATAATAAAGTTTCTCAAACTTTAATAAAAGCAATGCTGTTTCATCCTATGTGGTCGATTTAATGTAAAAATATGTTATCTTGAAATAGTACTATTGAATAATGCTTCAATTTGAGATTTCGCCGTTAGAGTTGATTTTAAAAAAATCAAAATTTTAGATAAATTTCAATTTTTCAAAAATTAGATAATTGCAAATTGAACTGTTATTTAGAAAACGGGAACTAAAAATGTAATGAATGAAATTATGGCAAAGCAACTAGGGCTTCTGCCTAAGGGAATGCCTTTGGAGGACTTTCTAAGGGAAACTGGCTCGTATACACGTTACACATGGGGAAAACCACAAAAACGCCCATGCAGCCAGCCCGTCGCGGGATTCGAACCTCGGACCGAACTACCAGTGTTCAGCGACTTTACCGCTCGGCCGTTATTTTTTTTAACAGATATTTTTTGTTAAAGATTTTGAGGTTTGCAATACAAATACCTCATTTTTTGGCATTCTCAGATAGCATTATATAAACAATAAAAAAATGAAATTTGTTTCCTTGCCAGAAAAGAAACGAAAATGATTATTTAAATCATGAAATGCTGGTCTAGTTAAAATATTTGAAAAGAATGAAATGGTCATAAAATTATGAAATATTACAAACAAAAAATGTCGAATTGTGTTTCTTTCAAGTAGCTATTTCCCCATTTAGTTTCTCTAGTGAACAAGGGTAACATGTGCTGCAAAAGATTTTCGATTCTGGAGATTCGTTTTTCCTATTTTTTTATTTCGGCACCGCACACTTAAAGGTTCATATGAGTTACAGTCATGGAGTAGAAAAAATTATTTCATTGAAGGGATGGCAACATATATGTTACGAACGAAAATAAGGAGCATGGATAACTGTCACCTTGAAATGCTTATATTAAAATAACAGAAGAATACAGTGCAACTATGATAAAAATTTAACTACATGTGCATATGCATGTAAAGATAAATGTTTTACATATATATATATATATATATATATATCTTTAAAATAATTCTACTTTAATTAAACTTAGGAGATAATATAATCAATTAATCAATATTGTTTAGGAAATAAATTATTATATATATATATATGTGTGTGTGTATGTATATACACACTATATATGTATTTTAATACGAATGTTAAGGAAATTAAATAGAACTTTGACTCACAAGCAAAAATATCTTACAATGACTCCCTAAATATTTTAAAATTTATTATACATATAATAAGTATAAATATAAAATTGAGAAATTTGATTTGAAATATTATTTGCTATTTACATTTTGCATATATGAATACATTTCAGTAATCAGAATAACTTTTTATCCTAGTGTTTCATTCAAATTAAAATTTAATTTAATATGAGAGATTTACAATTAATTTAAAATCAAATTACAATGTAAATTCAATTTAATATTAGAGATTAGTGCATTGATTAGTTAGAATTGTGTCATTATATGTTGTTAAATGTGCTTTATTTGCATTATTAAATTTGCGCAGGTATCTAATTAAACGTGAAATAATCTTAACAAAAAGTGAAGTAGTATTTAGTCATGAAAATTTGTCAACGTAAATGGAGAAATGTGTAAGTGAGAAAAACGTTTAATATGTAATTCTATTCATTCCTACAAATATGTATTTAGGAATTTTGGCACCCTTGTTTTAAATTGAATAAAGCATTTTACTATAGACTTTTCTTTTTTTAGAGCAATAGACTTCAGGAAAGCCGAGTAGCCAAATTTTGGGGCAACAATTACATCTATTAATATAACAGTAGTGCTAAAGCTATTTCATGATTCATTTAATGAGTGCTTATGATTTTAAACCTGTGATGGAGAACAACTACAAGAAGCGCAACATAATACTTACTCATTAGATTCTACTAAAATAGATAGATCTGATCAATTTTAACCACAAAAAACTTTTAATAAGCAATGCCATATATATTAATATATATATATATATATATATATATAATATAGAAATAGAAATTGAAAATGAAATAGAATTGAAAAGCTAACAAGTAATTTGACGTAAGACCTATTTGGTCTTAAAAATTTTTTTTGCGCAAAATGCTGCAAAAATAAATGAAATAGGAAGAAATATTCTAGTGAGCTTGCTAAAAAGTTACCAGGAGCTGTGGCTCCATAAAATAGTTCAACGCAGTATTTTTTAAAATATTAACATGGAAGTAATTTTTAAAAAATATTAACATGGAAAGGTGAAAAAACAGCCTACACGCGAAATAAAACTGTTAGAATCAATGTTGGAAAACATGTGAATGCACTAAAAACTAATCTTATCGATGTGATATGTGAAAAGTTAACACATATAAAAAAACAGATCGACGGATATATATAAATCTATACATATGTATATAATTAATAAATATAAAGTAAAAAAAAATCAATATGGGTTATCCTAGAAATGACTGACGGTTTTTCAAAGTTTAAAAGTGAAATAGCAAACAAATTATAACACTTACTAAAATTAATTTTGTAAGAAGATTATTGGTCAAGAATTGTTTTTAGCACCAAACGTCGCCAACAAATTGCGCTTCAATTTCATATATCGTCAGTTATGTCAAAATGCTCTCGAAATGGTCGCCGTTTAAAGCAATCATTTTCGAGATTGAAATACAAAATTAACACGCTCTGTAATGTCACTATTTGAATTTAGTTAAATTCACTTGAAGAAAAATATACAATCCTTGAAAAAAAATCATTGAAATTTTTTTGAATATGATTAGAATATGGTTAGAATATGATTTTTATGTATTTTGAAATCGCGATTTAGTCTCAAAGATCATGTTAAGTGAAATATTGGAAGTGAGGGTATTTTTTGATTTTAAAATTTTAATTTCCAAATGTACTTTTAAGCAATCGCTTTTGAACTTTCCTCTTCCTTGCATATATATATACATACAGAGAGACATGTGAATTCAAACAAATGGAGTTAATATAAACCTAAAATGATGAACTCTGTAACAATAAGTCACAAATCAAAAGAATGAATCAAAAACATGGAAAACAAAATTGGAGCAAAATTAAATCAATACATAAATAAAACAAAGTTCGCATGAAATTTAAAGAATTAAAAAATATCTTCGGTCTTTGTCAAAGAGCAGCCGAAAGAAAAATAGGAATTATAAACAGAGAAATCAAATTATATCTGGATGAATTGTACAAGTAATCAAAGAGTCCTTTGAATTAAAAGACCAAAACCTTAATTCAAAATTAAAATTTTCAAAAAATTTAAAAACTGTTTAAAAATTATTTAATGATTATTTAAGGATACTCGAATATAACGAAGTGTACAAATGATATCTGCCTAAGGGAGGGAATGAATTCGTGGAGGAATTTCAAAGGAAAACTGGCTCGTATTCATGCTACTCATGGGAAAAACCACGAAAAACCAACTACGCAACAAAACCGTTCGTCTGGAATAGAAGCCAAGACGAACTCCCAGTCTTCGCTAGTGTTATACATTTAGCAACCGATGAGGCAAATTAAAATAATGATAAAAACTGCAAGTATCTGAAATCAGTATTTATCACGATATCACTTACTCCGACGTGACTCAAAATCGAATACATAAATGACAAAATAGACTAGACTCGCCTTTTGAAGTATTTTTTAACGCGCCTTCTTTAGAAGATTTTGAAGAATAAGTGAAAGCATATTTATTAATTTTAAATTAAAAAGTTTTTAAAAATTAATAACTTGGAAAATAGGAATGACATAATGTACATGAAAAAAAAAAAAAAAAAAAAAAAAACATGCGGAATTCAAAACCACAGAGAAGGCAAAGCTGGCCAAATTTTGAAAATATGGACTTAGTAAAACTTATGAAATTCAAAAAAAAAAAGATTAATGAATTTAGATCGTGAAAAAATAGCTAATAAGCAAAGTTAATGCTGAGGAATTAAACATAGCGCTAAGTGTCTCTGAAATGAACATTCTTGAAAAATAAAAGTAAATGACTAAATAGCTAGTTAATTTTTGACGTGATTCAAAATTAGTTACCCAATATATAAAAAATATGAAAAAGTCAACACTTTTTTGAAAAGAGCAAATTTTGTTAATTTGAAAGTTAGAAACTTTTTATATAAAATGTACTATAAAAGTACTACTAAAGTACAAACTTTTTATAAAAAGAACTTGAAAAAGTACAGTGACATAAAGCACAAGCCACCAAGAAAAAGAAAAATGTAGAATTCAAAAATCTTATAATAGACAAAACGTTCATAATGTGAAATTGTTAAAATGCAAAATTTCAAAATAAAATTTAACTTTGATAAAGGAAAAAATAATCAGCAAGCAAAAATTATTATAATGGAATTAAACATATAATTTCGATTTAATTATAAAAAAAAAAAACTGAAATAAATGATTAAAAACATCTTCTACTACTACTAATAATTAATATAACTAAGTAAAGAAGCTTAAGAAAGTGTAGTAGTAAAATTTAATTTACTACCGCATGAGGAAAAATTAAAAGGGATTTCTTTTTATTTAGCTATAATTTAATTTAGTAGGAGGTAATTCTGTTTTGTTTCTTTTTGTATTTAATTTATCATCCGAAGAATTAAATTCTGATACATATATCTACATGTATCAGAATGTTAATGGCCTCTTTCGCTTCTGTTTTGGTGTTTCAAAGTCTGAACCTGAATCTAAAATTCAATGTCTTTAAAGCCGTTTTTGGACTTAAATTCAACTGTAGCATAATTAGCTACAAAAATGCATACATTTTTCATTAGATACAGTCTCATCTTTCAACTCAACAGCATATTTATTGTTTAGAATCGTTAATCACTTTAACATTTCTTATAGAAAACTCAAATCTTATTATTGAAAATTATATTTTTATTCAGATTTGTAAATAAAATATATAGATAGGCGTTTTTTAATTAAATTTAAACACAGTGTTAACATTCTGGAGCCTGATTCATGACTTCACTCAATGGAATTGAATTTGACATTTATATGGATCCGCAGGCTAAAATCTCTCGTTCAGTCTTCCTTTGAGCATCCATTATTTTTATATATGGGTAAGTTTTTAAAGAGGTTGTATTAAAATTCACAAACTAGCAAAGTATATTGAATATTAGAGTCTTACTATATGAACCGTAATTAAGAATGTAGATATGATTTATTTCGGAGCGAAACTATTAAAACATAAGCTGATATAATATGAGCACAATTAATTAGAGAGAATAAGGATAAATAATATTTTTTTAGAAAAATTAAAGTATGCTTAATACATTTTCCTACGCATCAAAACATTTTTTTTTAAAATTTCAATGTTTCAATTCAGAAAACAAATTATTTCAATTTTATGCTCTCGAAAAACTTCCTACCAATTAAATTAATATGGGAAAACAGACGTAAAAATCATTTGTAGAATACTTACAATATTCTCCCAGGATAACAATATAAAAATTCTCTCAGGATGTATCTGGTTCTCTGTGTTCCAGAATTGCTCTTTTCATGTGACTTCTTTCTTTATACGAAGGCCAGTTACATGTCCCTTTTTATCATCTGACACTCATTTGCTTGGACGACAGCCACTTCATCGGTCATTAGCAAATGTACAACGCTAAATGCCATTTTCTGTGAATGTAATGAAATAAATCCGTAAATGTTCTGAGACTGAATTGAAGCAATCTTACTTTATATGTAGTTAATTATCAACATTAAAAAGCTTGTCTTATACGAACTCAACCTTCCTGACATTCTGGGAAAATTCCTCCCTGACTTTCTGAATATATTTTGTATTTTCCATGGCAGTCTTAAAATTTTCTAGGTGAGGGAAACTCTGTTAGTACACCTGATTAAAAACATAATGGATAACAAACATAATAATCCCTATATGCCACTAGCATATATATACAGTTAACAGATTCCACTGATGTAGATTCTAAATTTATTGATAGTTCTGAAATTATAATGACACCTAAATTTAGAGAACTGAAAGGATGACTAAAATTCTTTTTGTTTATTAAATCTGTAAAAAAACAATTTCTTTTTCCGATGAATTTTCTAACAGATATTTGATTATTAGAACTGATTTGTCTATAAATAAACAACAATTATCACCAGTGTCAGCAGATATCTTAAATTCTGAGAGTTGAAACGATATATTTTGCTAATTTCACTTATTGATTCCTTTTCTTCGTCAAAACGTGTTTGTTAAGCATATCTGCGTGCAAGCTGCTGCAAAGGTTTTGAAAGAGCACAAAGCATATTTTTCAGTTCCCCCAAAAAGTTCAAATGTTTTCAACAAAAAGTGTCAAGAGGCCCAAATACTTTGAACATCATTTATTAAATGAATCAAAGATAGAACATTATACATTATTAAATAAATTATTAAATAAATTTTCCCATGTAATCGAATACTGTGTTTAACAAAAGCTCTTAAATCATTTTCTGCAAATGCATCATTAGAGAAAGCAATATCTGAAGGCTTTATTAAAATAAAAATTTCCACATGTAGTAAAAGAAAGTTGTTGTACATAGCAGATGGTAAAATTGAATTCATAACAACAGGCCTAGTGTATAAAAGAAATAAATGAAACTTTGTTGCCTTCCAACTCTGTATTTCTTAAAGCATTCTAGGTTTACGACTAAATTCGCTTGGTACGTAATGTCTTAGACCAATGTGAGATGAAGATATTTCATTTACATCGCTCCAGTGCAGTTCCAGTGATTTATTGAAAGTTAAAAATTTTTACTTATTTATTTGTTTATTTATTTATTGCCGCTTTAGCTGGAGAACTTAAACTGCTCTAAAATAGTTATCAAAAAGTTAAAAAAACTAGCCAAAATTTCAGTTTTTAACTCTAAATAATAAAAAATGTCTATTTCATTGCTTGTGTAAATATAAGATATCTAATTCTCTTAGTGTTTTAATTTTTCTTTACAATTTAATGAAAACAGTACGTGCATAAAAATACCAGTACTACATTTGAATAGTATAAAAAATTGTATTTCTAAAGCCATAAACACAATCGTATATGCATGCAGATCATAGTTTCCAGCCTTGGAAAATCTTAAAAGACGGGAGATTTTCTTTAAAGACGGGTTTGCTCTAGAAAAATGAAAGGTTTTTCACTCTGCGAGGTTATACCATTTCAAAGAAATTCCAAACTCGCTTTGATTCAGTTTATGATGCATGATGGTTCAGGTTACTATAGTACTTGTAATTCAATTTTGATGTAAGATGCATTAGCATTTTATTAGATAGTCTAAAATTTATGCTCTTTACTAATTTCATTTTTTTTTATTTCCTCGCTTTTTTATGCTGAGGAAATCTTCAGTAGTGAAGCAAAGCTTTTATTTATCAAAGTATTTTTAAATATACGATGCATGTGAAATTAATAATTAACATACATAATAACACTAGATAAAATTAGTAATATGCCAGGTACTAAAGTAAACAAAATTAAACACGAAAATTAACTAATTAAACATTGCCTAAATCTTCACATAAAAATCTACTGATGTCTACAGCAGATTAAAACAACTCAGATTAAACGAAATCCGATAAGAAAAATTTATTAAGGTCAATAAAATTAATAAAAAATACAGTTTTGTGAAATAAAGTTTAACAAGAAAAATTATTATGAAAATCATTACAGGTGGACGAATACAATTCGCCTAATTAAAAATTTCATTATTTTGATAAATTTCGTTTTTTTTTTTTTTTTTTTTTTTTTTTTGCTGGGAAAAATTTTCTTTAGTAAAGATTTAAATTTCGAGACTTTAAAATCTCGAGATTTGGTAATTTACCTTGAGATGTGATGAAAAACTGGGACTGAGTTGAAAACTTGAGTTGGCAGCTATGATAAGTTTGAGATCAACATGATTATAGCATTTGGAAGATTTTAGACATATACAAAACAATTTTAGCAAACTTTCATTATTAAAAATACGATTAAAAATGTGAAAATATGCATACTTACACTTTTAGTAGAGCGGATAAAACAAAGACATCAATACTTCCCTTCGATCTGGAATAATTTTAGCGGTGTTCTTGATGACCTCAAACCCCGGTCTTTCGAATCGTTCTTCTTTAAGAATGACTGAGGTCAGAGTCAGCCGGACGTCAGTAATTTCAGGATTTGATTGGTTACATACGTTTTTTGGACCGCAGGGCATACTTTGAGGGAGAGTACTTTGAGGGAAAAAAGTGATTTCGTCCTTGAGAGAAATAGTGCTGTGGGACAACATATGGAGAAGCGGAAAGAGCTCCAGCCTAAAGTCTAACGAGAAATTGGTACCGTATGTTCTTCTCGGGAACATACTGTTACTATCGTTACGTTACTGTTCTATCGCCTAGCCTTTTATCGTCTACGCCCAAGGTCGGCATATCCGTGGCTTTTCTACCGCGAATGGTAGTGCTGCGATAGGGTTTTGTCACATTTTTGAGTAGAAATAATTCACTTTATTTTGGCTATTATTTTTTGGTGACTGGATATGATTCATTATTAAATTTTCTATTGCTGTCAGGCTTAGTTTTTAAAGTCAGAAGCGCCTACGGAAGGCCGTCAGGAAAATAGGAAAAAATAAAGAAAGAAAGGGAAATAATATGACAATAATAACATTAATTAGTAATTAAAATAATAAAAAAAAACTTCATAATTAAAATAAAAAAAAAATAGTGATTAAAATAATGAATAATTTAAAGTAACATAATAATTAGCAACTGAAAATATAAATACTTATAAGTAAAATTATAAAAATGTAAAGACAAATAAAAATTTAAATAATTCTTAAATTTATGATGAATAGTTAAATAATAAAATAAAATACCAGAGCTCATCTTATTGGGTTAGTACCGTTTTGTCCTTTGTCATTTCATCTCCAGCTCAAAAAAGTGTCGTTTCGTCCGCTGCCTTTCCCTACCAATTCCCTCTTTCCCATTTCATCCGCTGTTCGAAAAATAGGTGTTTACTTTACGATAAGACGAACGTCTGTCTACTTCAAAAAATGGTTTAGAAGGAGATGACTGTTTCTACTTCGACTTAGCTTTTGATTTCTAATACTATTTAATATTTTGTGCAGACAAATTATGCTGAGCAGAATAATCAATTTCGGACATGTTTAAAAGGTCTGTATCTGAATATAATAGGCCCACACGGCCGAGCCGTAAAGACCCTAAACTGGTAGTCGGTTCGAGGTTCGAATCCCTCGAATGGGTGCTGCATGGGCGTTTTCGTGGTTTTCCCCATGTGTAACATGTATACGAGCCAGTTTCCCTTAGATTCTCCACGAAGGCATCCCTCCCTTTAGGCAGATAGCCCTCGTGTGTTAGCATAATTGAATAATCCATCCAATCCAATCTGAATAAACATTTTTGTTATTAGTATCTATATTTTTAATTTCACCATTTCTAAAGCAACAACCACGGTATCCTATTTTGGCACACACACAAAAAAAAATGTTTAATTAAGATTAAGTTACATTCTTTATAAAAGTTAATGGGTCCTCTTTAAATGCACCATCAGCGTTTAGAGCATCTTCATGGTGGGAAAAATGTGATGTCACTACCAATGTTTGTTTATGTTCTCAAAAATACAGATTCCTTAGAAAGTGCCTCTTAGAGATGCGTTTAAATAGATGTTTGCAATAATTATTTCTAATAGATAATGGAATAAGTAATTTAAAAATGAGCGATTATGGCTCTAATTTTTTTTCTCAATTAGAGTTATGCGAGTTGTAATTCTTTTTTATACTTTTTATTATACATAACTGAAATTTTACTTTGAGACAGGCACACACACACGTAATAATAGTAAATCCTACATACAATAACAAACCAAAAAATTTCTATTAATTTTATTTCAGCACAGCAGATTTAAATTATTGGAAATTAATATATCTCTTTTGAAAAAATCTCTACATATATAAAAGAAAGTGTATGGTGTGTGTCTTTCGTTCGCGCTGCGCATAAGCTAATAGACCCACGCCTACAAAATTTGGCACATAGTACATCTAGTTAAGAGCCATGCACCTCGAAGCATTTTTCGAAATTGAATTAGATTTATTTTATTTATGTTTTGTGACGAAATCGCGTCATTTTGAGACATAATGGGCTATAGAAAGCGAGATTTACTCTACACACTCCATTTTTCACATCGTCTGAAACGGAGGCACTTAGCTATTTTACGAACTTAAATAAATTCGTCTTTCAATAAATCATCAGTAACTTTATTTAACAAAGGAGCTTAACACACCTTTCAACGGATTTTTTATAAAAAGGTTTTTTTTTTTTTTTCTTTAAATGTACAGTTTATTTTTCTTTGATTTTTGGAAACATTAAACTTTCATCCTTGCACTGCTTTTGCAAAAGAATTTGGAAAAATAATAATATATTGTATTTTTAAAAATTTTTTTTAAATGAAGCTTCCGAGTACACTCTCATCTTTAAAAATGTGATTTTGGCAACAATTTTCCTGTCTTATTGTTTTGATAGATTTTTGATGAAAATCGCATCATTTTAAATTGTTTCATTTTTTTAGAATATGAGTTTGGCAACAATTTTTCATCGTATTTTTTATGGTATTTCTCGTTTTTAAGAATTGGCATTTCATTGTCATTTATATATATATATAAATACATTTTTATTGCCCTCAGAGTAAAATTCCGCGCGATTTTTTTTTTTTGTTTTTTTGTTTTTTTCATGTTATTTTTTGTTTATTTCATTGTTTGTAAGATATTGAAACGTTCCGCATGATTTTTTCTTCAACGGAAAGTTGAATAATTTTTAATTAGGAATTAATATTTGTATTAAGGGTATAGCTGATTCATTGTAATTTTTTCCTTGAAAATATAAGATAAAATCATTAATTATACTTTGCTTTTCAGAATTTTTTGTTTTTTGTATTCTTTATGTTTATATTGCTCATTTCACAGTTTTTTTTTAAGATATTGAAAAGTTTGAGTGATTTTTTTAGGAAACAAAGTTCTTAACCTCCTTTATACCATTTGAGTTCTTAGATTTTGCAAAGGGAAGTTGGTTAATTTATTTATTAGGATAATTAAATTTGTATAAAAGGGATTGTTTATTTCATTGTAATTTTGTTATACTAGTAAAACTTTTTTTGAAGTTGTTCTGCAGAGTAAAATTCTACGCAGTTTTTAAATTTAACGTTTGGTGTTCCTTCAGCCATTTTTCCGGTACATTTAAGCCAGACGAAGGCTGGCAGC